TTAAAAAATTCGCCAGTTTATAGCTCCTGAAAAAAATATTTTAAAAATCTTTAGGAGTGGGGGTAGAGGAAGTATGAAGAAGAGTTTAAAATGCAGATAAGGGTGCACAAACACTTGTAACTAAAAAAAGAATACAACCAACAAAAGTAGGATTCAATCAGGACATCTTCCTTTCTAATACATAAAATACCAGGAGATTTATAGCTTTATGTTTTGTTTCATCAATTACATCTTAAAATCTGTATATCTTATCCATTCAACAATATCTGATTTAATAAATAATTACTGAGGATCCACTCTGTGCAAGGCAGTACTCTAGCCGTTTGGAGTCAACCAGTGAACAAAACAAATCCTACTCCATTAAAGTTATACTTGGGGAATGGAGTGGGTAGGAGAAGGAAGCCAGATAATAGACAATATACAAAAGTAAAATATGTTAGAAAGTGATCAGTGATATAATTTTTTTTGAGAGAGAGAACAGGGTTGAGGGGATCAGTAATGCCGGGGGTAGAGGTATCACAATTTAAGTAGCGTGGGCAGGGTAGGCCTCATTGAGAAAAGAGCTTGAAGGGGGTGAGGAATGTGGTTATCAAGAGAAAGAATAATCTGGGCAGACAGTCTGTACGAAGGCCCTGAGATCAAAGGAAGGCCAATGTAGCTACAGAAGAATGAGCAAGGGGCATAGTAGTAAAAGATGAGATTGTAGTAGGGTCCAATATTTTTTAACAACATATTTTTTTTTTTTTTAATTTTTTTTATCCTCACCCGAGGACATTTTTTCTATTTTTTTGTTCAGATAGAGTGTGGGAGGGAGAGAGAGAGAGAGAAACATCGACGTGAAAGGGACACGTGGAGTGGTTGCCACCTACACGACCCAACCAGGGCCGGGGACAAACTGCAACCGAGGTACGTCCCTTAGCGGGAACCGAACCTGGGTCTCTCAGGACCGCAGGCCGACGCTTTAACGGCTGAGCCAAACCGGCCAGGGCAACAACACATTTTTTTAGATCTAATTCACATTCCATACACTTCACCCTGCATGTGCTGTTCACTTGATTTTAATGTATTAATAGAGTTGTGCATTTATCACCATCATCAATATTATAATGTTTTCATCATGATCAACAGATTTTTATAGGGTCTTTTAAGCCATAGTAAGGACTTTGGCTTTTACTCTAAGTAAAAAGAATGACCTCTCCTTATATATTAGAAAGGAAAAAAACTTTAAAAAAAAAATCCTCACCTAAGGATATTTTTCTGTTTATCTTCAGATAGAGTGGAGGGAAGGGAGAGAGTGAAAGAGAGAGGGAGAGAGAGAGCAACATCGACGGGAGAGGGACACATTGACTGGTTGCCTCCCGCATGACCTTGACCAGGGCGTGGGATGAACCACAACGGAAGTACATGTCCTTGACAGGAATCGAACCTGCAACTCTTTGGTTTGTGGGCTGAAGCTCTAACCGTTGAGCCAAACCAGCCAGGGCAGAAAAAATATTTTGACTGAACTCTACTTTTATTGGTTGAATTTTTGGTAAGTTTGGATCAGAGAATTGACTGGGATTTGACTCGCTATTTATAGAATCGTTTTGGCTGCGGAGGTGAGTAGAGAAAGGGCAAAAGCAGAGACAGAGAGAAACCAGTTGTTGCAGTCAGCCAGGTGGGAGATGGTGGTGGTGGTGAGAAATGGTTGAATTATTTTACATTTTGAAGTAAACTGATATAATTTGCTGATGGACTGGATGTGGGTCGTGAAGAAAAGAAGTCAAGGATGACACCATGGTTTGGGGACTGAGCAATGGGAAGAGTGGAGTTGCCACTGACCTACAGGAGGACAGTAAGGAGGTCAACTTTTGTCATATTAAGTTTGAGATGTTTATTGTAGATTGAGACAGATGATGAGTAAGCCTAAGCTTCAGAAGAGATGACTGACCAGATTAAAATATATTGGGAGTCATCAGCATATAAATATTTAGGCCATGAGACTGGATGAGGTTACCTAGAGAGTGAGTGTAGATAGAGAAGTTCAAGGACTGAGCTGTTAAAAGTTAGGAAAAAGAAAACTTTGTAATACATGGGTTAAAAGAATCATCTCTTCCGTTTCAGAGATGGGAAATTCAAAAACCTGTTCAAGGTACCAGATCTAGGGAAGTTACTCTGATTTATCATTGGATGCCAACTTCCCCCAGGATTAGTAAGCATTTATGAAATGTATCATCTCTGATCATCCTAATGTATAACTGCAGTACAACTGTAGCTAAATGCAGCTTCTACTCCCAGCCATGAGGACCATTTTGCAGATAATCACTGATGAAACATTCTAGGTAGACTCAGCAATGAGGCAAAATGATGTAACCTATCTGAGTCAGAAGGTATGACAAATAAATATTTTTGAATACTGGAAGACTATGCTTATCTCACAAAGAACAACCCCACAGCACTCGAACAAATCATTTTTACATGAGGCCAAATGTAGCATACAGTATAATTTTTGAGTGAGAGACTAGGCCTTTATGAGAAGTAACCATTTTATGCCACATTTTTACTGCATATAGTTTACTTGGGTAGGGCATTATTAGAGCTGTGGTTCATTTGAATTGCCATAAACAATACATGGGGTTCTACTCTCCTACAGTTTTTGTTCAGATGACTAAAGTCATGGGACTTTCAGCATAGCTAGCTGATGACAGTGCATACTATTTTGTCCCCAAATCCAGTTCAAGCAATGACATACTAATTAGATGGTAAGGTCTTTAAAGGCAAAGGGCCAGGAATTGCACAGTTCTTGGAATATAGAAAGGCATCAACACTTTTTCAGACTAAAGTTAAATGTGGAATATATTAGAATTCATACAGTGCATGGAAGGCGGAATTCTGAGACCTCGTTGTTGTTGTTTTCTTTTCTGAGACTTTAACTCTCAGATTCTATTCAACTCAGTAAACATTGACCATGCTTCAACTAAATGCAGAAATTGTGCTAGGTGCTAAAAACACCCAGTTGATGAAGTCTCAGTCAGTCTCTGTTGTCAAGAAACTCACAGATTTTCTCATTCTTTGTCATCTTGCTGTGATCACATTTTCTCCCAAAGAACCTCTAAGAAATACCTCCTGGATAGAACCTTGGAGTTCCAGATTGTGTAATTCAGCTTTTGTTTGCAAAACTGAAAATGCTTTAGCACTTAAAATTTTAAGTTTAAGGAATTTTTGAACAAAGACATTATGTATTAGGATTTAAGGTATAGATATGAAATACACACAAGCACCTTTGGATAAAATTATGAATTACTCACCACCATTCCTTTTCTCAAACATTGTCCCTTGCTGACTATGCAGTTAGAGATTAAGTACAAAATAACTCAAATAAATGAGCCAGAAAACTGACCTATCATTTTTTTCCCCACTAATTAAGACCAAGAGAGCTGAAGAATATTTTGTTTAGAATGATACAAACATACCAGTGCAAAAACTCCCATATACCTTTGCAAAAAATTACTTCTGTGACCTTTGATTATAGAGTAACCTTAATAATGCAAGCATTGTTTTGAATGCAAGCATAGGAGGGCATTTTCATCACTTTTGGTGACTTCAGTAGATGTTTTTGCATTTATTGCATAAACTCATAGAACAAAGAAAGGAACTTTCAACCTATTCAGTGAAAGTCTATACATTAAAGTTTGCTTTTCAAAAATATCACTACTATGCATGTATGCATGAACAATGGACATGGACAACAAAGCTGGGGACAGGGAGGGGAGGGAGGGGGAGGGGGTATCAGTGGGGGGAGAAAGAAACATCTGTAACAAAAGTAAGTTAATTAATTAATTTAAAAAAATGTCACTACTGCTTACTTTGCACCCACAGGTTGCCATTATCTCAAAGGTGAAATTTTAGCATATGACTAAAAGGTCCTGCAGCTTCATGATTCAGCATCTAACATCAATAATGCATGGTGAGATCACAGGTTCTCTGTGGAAGCTAGTGACATACTTGCCTTATGAAAGGAAGCTTAGGGCATATTGAAAGCATTTTGAATTTAGACTTGTGGTTTGTGTAGGTGTCAGACATTTGTCTCTTAGCTAGTGGGGGTGCAGAAGGATCCTACTTTGGGAAAGGCTCTCCAAGAGAGGTGAATTTGGGTTATAAGGCTAGGATACGCACATGTGGTAACCAGCTACTCCTGAACACAGTTTTGCAGAGTTGCCCTGGGCAGGTAGGAAGCCTTCTGCTTGCTGTGGAAAAGATTCCAACTTGGTTCCCTGCCACCACCAAACACAAATGTGTTGATTTTTCTTTTTTGAGCTTCCAACCCTTGCAACCTTCCAAAAATAAATCAAACCGGCCATCAGGGCACCGAAATAATACTACTACTAGTAAGCAGCTTTGCTTAGACTTTCATAAACAACACTTCTGAGGTAAACTTTGCGCCCCAGAGGTCTGCACACATTCTTTTTATGTAACCTGCTTACTAATAATGACTAGACTTGGGTGCATTAGCCCTGAAAATAGATTTAAATAGTAACCCCTAAAAACAAAAGACATGAAACAACAATAAAAAAATATGCACCAACGATAAAAAACACTTGGCAGCCTGCTCCAGCACAAGCCGAAGACAACAACCCCCTCCTCACTTCCCTCCACTGCAAAAAACTGTCCTGAGAACCCGGCCTACAGGATAAGAGAGTCAGCTAGGGACCCCGCCCTCCCCTATCCCCGCTCCGCCCCCGCCCCCGCCCCCTAGGCTAGCTTCCGCGCAGCTCCTCCCCCTTCCGTTCCTCAGCCTTGTTCCAGGAGCTGGGGTCAAATTGTCTCCAATGCTGATTTGCATAGTCCAATGGCTGCACGTATGCAAATGAGGCTGGAGGTGGTTGGCTGGGGGTTGGCAGAATAACACGAGTAAGCGGGGTCTTTGTCCTTCAGTGGCTGTGAGGCAGCTGCGGAGTAGGTGGCGCCGCTCCTGGGAGGCTAGGCGAGGAGCCGGGAGCTGACTGGCGTGCGATCCCGGCGGGAGGGGCGGGTTGCGCGGTGGCGACGGGCGCTGGAGGAGCCTGTGCGGGAGTGCAGAGCAGGCGCCCGCGCGCCCTCGGGGGCAGGAGCAGCCCCTCCGCTCTCTCTCTGTGGGGGACCTGCAGTTGCAATATGACTTTGGAGGAATTCTCGGCTGGAGAGCAAAAGACCGAAAGGTAAGTCGGCCGGAGCCTCTCCCAGAACCCTCGCGCGGCTGTGGTAGGCTTTCCGAGGAGTGAGCGGGTAAAAGTTTGCAGAGCGCACCTCTCTCCTTTCGCGGGGGCCCTCTCCGGAGTGCCCGCGGACGGAAGGAGCGTGCCCCCAACCCGGTCGAGCCCTTGCAAAGGGTAGAAACGACCCTCCTTGCCCGTGCGGCTCCTGCAAGCTGGCAGCCTGTGGCAGCGCCCAGCGCCAGGGACTGGCAGTGCCCTCGGGGGAGAGCGGCGGGTGGCACTCTTGGGGACGCCGGGCCCCTGGGCGTGCGAAGGGTCGTGGGGTTGAGGGGGTCAGGAGTTTGCAGAAACTTGCGGTGCGCGTTGGCTCATGCACTCGGGAGGGAGGGTCGCGGGCCGGGGGAGCGGGCGGCACAGCCCCGAGGGGACAGGGCTGACCCAGACCCCTTGCTCTGGCTGGCGTGTAGGATGGATAAGGTGGGGGATGCCCTCGAGGAAGTGCTGAGCAAAGCCCTGAGTCAGCGCACCATCACGGTCGGGGTGTACGAGGCGGCCAAGCTGCTCAACGTGTAAGTGGGGCCCTCGCGTGACCCTGGTGGCACCCCCTCCCCCCAACCCCGGGAGATCTCCCTTGCGGGGCGTCCCTCCCCCTGCAGCGTCGCTTCCTGCTGCTTTCCATCAGCCGGCGGGTGCCTGGCCCAGAGGGGACGAGCGGGTCGGGGCGTGACTCCCGAGACCTGGGTGGGTGTTGCGGGCGCCCACGAGGGCTCGTAGTGCCTCCGCGCTCACCCGCCCCATCCGCTGCCCGCAGCGACCCGGACAACGTGGTGCTGTGCCTGCTGGCCGCGGACGAAGACGACGACAGGGATGTGGCTCTGCAGATCCACTTCACCCTAATCCAGGCGTTCTGCTGCGAGAACGACATCAACATCCTGCGCGTCAGCAACCCGGGCCGCCTGGCCAAGCTCCTGCTCCTGGAGACCGACGCCAGCCCAGGGGCGAGCGAGGGCGCAGAGCAGCCCCCGGACCTGCACTGCGTCCTGGTGACGGTGAGGGAAAAGGGGTCTGCGCGCTGGTCAGGGTTAGAGTCCTGAAAAGAAGTGAGCCAGGCCTGAGAGTCGCCTGACTACAGCGTGGAATGGGTGGGGGTCAAGAGCGTGGCTGCCTTTGCCCTATTAGAGTGTGGCTGGACTTTCAGCCAAGATGTGCCAGTTTCATCATCAGGATTTTCTCTGGTACAGAACATGTCTAAGCACGTTGAAGGCTGCCAGCAGCGGAAGAGATCCTTGTGAGTCAGCACTGTCAGCCCAGCTACTCCCTACCTACGATCTGCACTACCTCCCGTGACTAATTCCTTTAGCAGGGCAGATTAGATAAAGCCAAATAAATTCCTGGCTCACTCTCATTAAGGAGTCAGCTTCATTCGCTGCCAGTCAAAGCTAAAAATAGAAATGGTGTAGGAGACAGACCTCGTTAATTCCCTAGAAATACATTAAGAGGATAAAGTGGAAATTTTTTCTTGGCAATCTTGCATTTTTTTTTTTTAATGGGGCTCCCCTCCCCCCATAAAAACCTTTGGTAGGGAGATAACTTGTGGTTGCAGAGGTACATGCGATAGCTTTGTCTTTTGCATTTTACTACTTTGGGGGCTGGTCTAGTTAAGTAACAGCCTAATTTTGCTACTCCTGAAAAATACTACTCTTTTTGGAGGATAACAAGTGGCAGTTCTAGTGAACTGCTATGCAACTCTCCTCTCATTGTGAATACAGCATGGAAATATTTCTCAATTATTTCATTCAGGTCTCTGCCACAGTACAAGTTTGGTAAGACAGACCTGTGAATGGTACTCTTGTGCAAAATTTAATATTGTCATGCAAACATATGTATATGGCTTAGTGGACTGCATTAGTTCAGACTGCAGAGTATAGTTTAGTATAGAATTATCCTTATCCCTAGTGATTTTGCAGGAAACCCAACTACTTGGAAGAAATTTTATTTTTTATGGTTGTAACTGGTCTCCATGTCACATAGCCAAAGCATAGAATGTCCACGTGTCTTCTCATCAAAAGTAGTGTGATTATTAATTAGCAAATACTGATTTTTTTTTAAATAGAAAATTTATTTTTCTAAATTTGTTCCTAGAATCCACATTCATCACAATGGAAGGATCCCGCCTTAAGTCAACTTATTTGTTTTTGCCGGGAAAGTCGCTACATGGATCAGTGGGTTCCAGTGATTAATCTCCCTGAACGGTGATGGCATCTGAATGAAAATAACTGAACCAAATTGCACTGAAGTTTTGAAATACCTTTGTAGTTACTCAAGCAGTTACTCCCTACACTGATGCAAGGATTACAGAAACTGATGTCAAGGGGCTGAGTTCAACTACATGCTCTGGGGTCCTGGAGTTAGATGACTTTGCAGATGGAAAGAGGTGAAAATGAAGAAGGAAACTGTGTTGAAACAGAAATACAAGTCAAAAGGAACAAAAATTACAAGAACCACACAGGAAGGAAAACAAACTATGTATTAATTTAGGATGGTCGAGTTACATTTAATTAAACCAAATATGCTTTGTTAAAGTTTAAATGTGCGGCAGTAGTTTGGGTATTTTTGGTTTATGCCCTCAAGTAAAAGAAAAACAGAAAGGGTTAATCATATTTTAAAACCATATTTTATTGTATTTTGATGAGATGTTAAATTCTCAAAGTTATATTATAAATTGTACTAAGTTATTTTATGACATGAAAGGTTATTTATGCTATAAAAATTTTGAAACACAGTACCTACAATAAACTGGTATGGAATAATTGCATTATTCCTTAAGGTGTGCTTTTGTTTCTTTTAACTTGGACTCTATTTTTTAAAAGTTTTTTAATATGAAAAAATTAAAATTTCTGAAATCATGAATAGTATATGTGTGTCTCTATATATATCTGTATGTATGTATGCATGTATATGTTTTTTTACACTTTTAAACATTTGGGCTGGACATGGGGGCATAATTTTATTTTTTATTCTTTATTTAATAGACATTTTACTGATGCCCTACTCTACACTATGCATTACGTCAGAAAATGAAGGTGATTTAAGAGGATTTAGATTTGCAGCTAGGAAAAAGAAGATTCGAGATTGATCTTGTGAATCTGAATAAATTACAGTTCAAAGATTTAAATGCTACAATTAGATTAGATGCAAAATGCTAAGGAAGCAAAGGAGAGAGTTACTCAAGTTACCTGCAAGTCAAGTAAAGTTTTTTACTGGGGAAAGATCATTTTATGTGAGTCTTAAAACATGAGTTTTATTTCTCCAGCTAGAGAGGGGAAAGGATATAGCTAGCAATGGTGGCACTAGTTTGTGCAAATGTGTGGATGCCTGAAAGGCCAAAACCTGTTCAGGGAACAAAGGGTGATTCTGTGTGTGCCTTTGGTGCAGAAAGATAGGGAGAGATAAGGTTGAAAATGTAGGGGGGATTACTCTCAGATTGAAGGGCATTCTGTGTCACCCTTAGGCATTTGGGTTTCCTTCTATAAACTTTGGGCAGTCAGCAGAGGCCTTCACACAGGGAGTGACGTGATCAGTGTTCTAGGAAGATAACCCTGGGGACTGTGAAAGACGGGTTATTTGGGATAAGAGGCTGTAGGTAAGAAGGCCAATTAGGAAGTGACTGTAACAGTCCAGGGCTGTGCTTTTGCAGAACCATACTTAAAGAACAAACAGGGGAGTAGCCTAGCAAAGAGTTGTGCTGCCTCTATTTTCTTTTGAGAGCTGTGTGCCTTCCAGCTGGACATTTCTGCTCTGGTTCTGAGGGTTCTGGTTAAATTATGTCAGATGGAAGAAAAGAGCAAAAGAAATAAAAGGCTTCAGCAGAAAAATCATCTTTTAGTTGGAACAATCCCTTGATAATTAACTGCAACAATCTCATAGCCAAAGAAAGCAAAAATGCTTCTGAGGCAAAACCTAACATAGCTTTAGTCCACAGGATTTTTGCCTGCTTCTCAAACCATACCCTCCATGGCTCCCCTGCCATCTGTCTCCCATCCTTGTCACAACTACATGCAATCAGGAAAAAGTAGAAATCAGAGGAGAGGAAAAAAATAAATAAAAAGCTTCAAGTTTCTGCATATCTTATGAATAACATAGGTCCAGTGAGCCCTTAACCTTGCAAATAAGTTTCTGTTTTTTCACATCTAAACTAGGTGGGTTTTTAGGCCTTGTTTAGGCTTGTACTTTTTGTAAGCCAGTCCCCAATCCGAAGCATAACTGATAGTTAATAATTATTTCTTATATTACTAAAAGATTGAGAGCAGTATGTTTTAAACAGCAGATTTTTTTTTTTTTAACCTTCCCACTGAAGTATTTTCAATGCTTTTTCACAATTACTTGATTAGAAACCCTCCTGCAAGGTGAGTGAATTCAACTAGGAAAACAGGGGAGAGAGAAGCAGAGTTGCTTGGTGGAAAGAGCATGGGGATTGGCCGGTAGTAGTCCCTCCCCATCCCGTTTTCCTCATCTGTAACACTGAGATAAAATTACCCATCTTGCAGAGTTGTTGCCTCTCCTACAAGACTGTCACTTCCCTGAAGGTAAGAACCAGTGTCTGGTTCATGATTATAGCCCAGTACTTAGCACATTGCTCAGCAAGCAGTAAGTGTTGAGTTAATATTTGTCGACTAAATGAATGATTTAGAAATACTAATCAACGCACACTACCTGGCATATGATAGGTGCATATCATATAAGTGAGTCTATTACTAAAACCAAGGGAAACTTGACGGCATCAGAGAAATGTCTGTTGCTTATAACATGTATTTTAGGAAAGGAGTTTATAATCTCTATTCTAAATCATAGTGCCTAAAGATATGTTTTGTTTTAGTAAAATGTCAATGATTAATACAAATCTATTGTTTTGGTTTTTAAGTTTTAACTGTTGTTATTCTTTCCTGATTGAACATAATATAAAATTGAGATGGCACTGAAAAATCTGATCATGAAATATGAGCTAATTGTAAAAATGTGTGCAGTTACCTGGACAGCTTCTACCTCAAATTGATGGTAATATTCTTCAGTTGTCCCTTTAAATGCCCTTAAACCTACCTATTGAAAGTTGGTCGGGATGTTACAACTAGAACAAAAATCCCCTCATCTATTCAAGGTGTGTTGTACATGGAAAATACCTATTTTTTCCACTGTCAACTTCACCTCAGTGTCATAAATAGCATTGTGTCCTCCTTTCTACAGTTAACCAAGGCTCTCAGTAAGCTGAACTTCTATAATGAAAGGACTCATGAAGGTAATTAATCTCCTATAAAATCATTTCTAGGAAAGAGCTATTTTTATAGTCAATTGGAAACATTTCCAAAGCATGTTTTGAATTCTTTACTGAAATCTTTGTCAGGTCATTATTTCCTCAATTTTCAACTAGATGGGTTAAATTTTATTATTTGATATGTGATAAAAGGCTTCAAGCAGTAACAAGTGTTTTCTTCAAATGAACAAAGCTCTCAATGGCATTATTTAACACGATGCAGATTTAGTCTTTTTTTCTTTCTTTCTAACAATCCTTAGATAAATATAAGAAATTCTGTGAAGAAGGTTTTATTCATGAAGACCATCAAATACTCAATGAATTCTTACTATGGGCAAGGGACTATGGTGCTCATTTTGAATTCTACAAAAAGTCAGATACATATTGTGGTCTCGAGTTCAGAGTCTCATGAAGTATTAAGACATGTACATCGATAGATGTAGTTCAAAGCAAAAAATAGTGCTCAATAACATAGGAAAGGCCCAGAGAATTGCTATGGGAGGTCAAAGGGTAGAAATCCCTGGATGGCACATCGGGATGGGATGGGGTAAAAGCTGTAAGCTCCTTGATCAGAAGCTTAAACACTATATTTTGGAAACAGCACACAATACAGGTGTTCCTCGAGTTATGATGGGGTTGCATCAGGACAAACCCACTGAAGGTCAAAAATGCGTTTAATACTATACCATGGAGTTTCTATTGTTTACTCTCAATCCCAGGGCTGCATCATGAGAGAGGACTGCATATTGCTGACCTGGGAAAAGATCAGAATTCTAAATTCAAAGTACGACCCTGGCCAGTTTGGCTCAGTGATTAGAGCATGGGCCTTTGGACCAAAGAGTCAGGTTTGATTCCAGTCAAGGGCAGGTACCTCAGTTGCGGTTCAGTCCCCAGCCCTGGTCGGGGTCATGTGAGAGGCAATCAATCGATGTGTCTCTCTCACATTGATGTTTCTCTCTCTCCCTCCCTCCCACCCCACCTGAGAATCGATGGAAAAATATCCTTGGGTGAGGATTAAAATACATACATACATACATACATACATACATACATAAATTAAAAGTACGATTTCTATTGAATGAGTATTGCTTTCATTCCACCATGAAGTTGAAAAATTATAAGTTGAATCATCGTAAGTCGAGAACTGTCCCGTACTCAACTGATAATTCTGCTAAGTCCTGTGGAGAAGACACAGATGTAGCCTATAGGAGCGCTTGTCCTCAGTTTATAAACGAATAGGGAAATCAAGGTCAGCACCTTCATTCCTTTAACACTATTTATTGAAAGCCCATCATTTACTGAGCACTGTGTTAGGTCCCGGGACTACAGAAGTGAAAAAGCAAGGTCTCTGCCTTCAAGAACGTGCACAGTTGTGGAGGTGCCGGACACCTGCAGCGCTGGGTGAGAGGTGATGATGGGTCAATTCACAGCCTGAGTGTTCCTGGGGGCAGGGAAGCTTTGCCAGATCAGTGAGACCTGAGGGATGAGCAGACATGCCAGGGGACTATGAAGAGCCTGTGTTCCAGGAAGGGGAATTGCAGCTCTGAAGGGTATGAATTTGACACGTTTGGGACTAGCTTCTGGGGGCAACCCCAACACTCATATAGCGCTACGTGCTGAGCACTGTTCTAAGCACTTTACTTACAGTAACTTATTAGCACTCACGACAACCCTATGGAAATGGGTACTATTATTATCACCATTTTGAAGGTGAAGGGATTGATATGCAGAGATTAATCTGCTCAGAATCATTATTAGTAAGTAGCAAATCCATCCAGGATGCAAACCTCGGCAGTCTGACTCTAGAATCCATGTTCTCTAATGACAGGTGGTGTGGAAAAGGTGGTATGAATCGGACCATGAAGGGCCCTGCAAGCCAGGCATTTCTCATGAGGCGATGAAAAGCCATTAAAAATAACTTAATACAGGAGAGAGGCAAGGAAAAAGATGAAACTATTGTCCACAAAGCCCCAATGCAAGGTTGGAAACTGGTAGCCAAGATACATTTGGCTTACACAATGTTCAAAAAGAATTTTTTTTGAATCATTTGTCCATTTTTAAACATGGAGAAATTTCTTTTTTTTTTTTTGGTACGTGCCCCTAGTGGAAACTGAAACTGGGACTCTCGTCCACAGGCCGATGCTCCAACCGCTGAGCCAAAC